TTGTTAGGCCCTAAGCTAGCCAAAAGGGGAAACTTGTTCAATTTTAGTTGCACACAATGACAAAAGAACAGCAGAGATATTCACAATTTATTGATCTGTTTTTTCACTCTCTGAAAAATGCATGAAATATTGAATAAGAAAAAAACAATCTGGTCTACTTGGTTATGAAATTTCAGTTATGTATGATCTTTTGAAACTTGCTTAATTCCTTCTGCTTCAGTTATTCACCTATAAGAATATGAGTCTACCATCTATAACACATGTGTAGGGTATGTAGAAGAGCTCTACAAATTAGGGTTCATTATCATTGCATTGCAATCGTTATTTATAACACTTTACTCAAAACAGGTTCTAGTTGCCCCTGAAAATATAAAAGGAACACTGGTGGGGATGGTAGGTGAAGAAGGAAGCATGACACAATCTAATATGATTTAGAATAATCAAAGATGCCCAGAGTGCATCCTGTAGAAATTAACAAGGTGATTCAGGTAAGATCACATCATTAGCATGAAAAAAGGTGGATGTGGCCTATAAATACCTCATATTGGACTAATTTTTTTCTTATTACTTTAGCTTGATATGAATTTTCATCGTATGTTTATAAAGTACCGTTTTTGATTGCCCTAGAAATTCTTTTGCATATTATACATATGTTGAAGTGGCCTTAAACCTTTTTGCAGAGAACATATTACCATATGAATATTCTGCCATTATGTAGTTATCATTGTCCTTGGGATTACATGCTTGTGTTTGGAGCTGTTAGTAGCTATTAGTGTAACTGCCCAAAGGAAGTTATAACAATTTTTATATTGTGAATTTAAAGCTATATAGCACAGATTAACTATATTTATTTTGACTCTCGTTATATTATTCAGAACATGTCAACTGTTTTGGTATTCAGGCCAGTAAAATGCTCAAAACACTTGACTTAGCACATAGCACAAGAAGGAAAACATCATTTTTTTGGTAATACAATTGTACCTTTTGCTAAACATATTTGTTGAGAGCTGGTGTCCAGTCGGCTATTTCTAGGTTTGTGCTGAATGTCTTCTTGTACAGTTACAATGTCCTCAATAAGTAATCAATTTTGGATCTATTGCTTCCAGTGGTCAAATTACTCATACACTTAAGAGGTGATCAATTGTCTAGTCTCTGCTCTAGTTTCCACAAATTCAGACTCCTATTGGTTGCTTAATGACCAACCTAGCAGAATCTTCTAATTTCAGTCTTTATTCATTTTCTTTTACCTTCAGTCCCTTCATTGTTCTAATCCTCCAAAGCATCATTTATCACCTACATTTTCTTTCTAACCAGTCTTCCATTCATTTAAGCACTTTTTAAAAACTTTCATTTAGTGACAATAATTACTATAATTAAAATTTGAAAAAAAAGATTGTCAAACAGGTATGTATGTATTTGTGTGTTGCTGCTTTTGTGTCAGAAAGTGAAACACAAGACTGTGCTGCGCACTTTTATATTAACCAACTTCTATACCTATTCTCATGCATTATTAAAGGAAATGTTTTGTATTTAGATTTGCCTGATGTTCCCGGTTTAGTAACATTTCACTTAGCAATGCTGAAATATGAAAAATGAGAAGGTATAAAATCTTTGCAAAGATAAAATCATACAAATAACTGATACAGTGTTAAATGCTTGTGGGATTTGTTTTTTGTTTGTTTGGAACTGGAATTGAACTCATGACCTTGTGTTTGCCAGGCAGGCACTGTGCCAGTGAGCTATTTCCCTTGCTCACTGTGGTGTTAAATGAATTATTAAGAATGATACATTTTGCTTTAGAAAAGGTGCGACCTTTAACTGGTTTTAAAGTATGCTTGATGTAATAACTATTTTTCAGGGCACTGAAGCAAAGAAAGTGAATGTTTAGAGACCTCTCAGCTTCTATATTAGTTTCAGAATTTGTTTGGTCAAGAAAAGAATCCTTAGAAGCCAAGTGAACAATTATATTTAATGAAGCCTTTTCATACATTATTCTTCATATTTTGATAAATCAGTAAACAAATTTGTGCTGGATAGGAAAGTACTAATGACATATTCATTTTATTAAATACCTGAAATAATACTTAACTTTTAAATATAATGCTATTAATTACTTGAGAGTTACAGAGAGGTAACTAATGAAAACATGGTATATACTATTTTATTTAGTTGTTTGTCACTGAAAATGAATTATAACTAAAAAAAGAAGGAAATAATTAATGAGACATTTCTATCACTTACACAGGATTACAATCATGATATTGTAGAGAAAATGGTTTTTTGATCTAATATTTTATTTTTAAAAAGTACCATCAAATTGCTTTTTAAATTTATTTTTATTTCTATTTTTTATTAGCAGATATTTACAGTACATCATGATTATAATACATCATGATATATAATATCTCAATTCTTTTATCATCTCCTTGTTACCTTTCCAAGTGCCTCCCCATCTCTATCTCTTGGTCCTCACTTTCATATCATTTGTTTCATAGTAACACTTGCAATAGTGAAAAATACTTAAGGATTTAAATATTTCATTTTCCAATTTGTAAGCATACAGTGTGTCTGTAGTAACTTAAATATCAAGCACTAACTTCCCTTAATAACATCTGTCTTCTCTTCTTTCTGTTGGAATTGAAAATGAGTAAAAGAAATGAAGGTGAGACAAAGGGAAAAAAAGAAAGAAAGTAGAGAGGAGAAAGGGAGGAGAGTTCTAGGAGAGGTGACATCTTTAAATATGCAATGAGGAACAGACCTTAATCCTATGATCCAGCTACATATATAACGCAACTACTTTCAAGTGTTACGAATCTTGATTTAATAACAGTGGTAGACAGGACACATCTTTTATGGTTTTTGATTGCTTGTGTATGCAGTGGACAATGAGCTGCATTTAATGTGGTTGATATACTAGGAAAAATACTGTAGCATTAAAGGGTAAAAAAAAATTTTAGGTATAGAAACTGGACCTTGAATAATTTTTGAATATCATCTGTAAAGAAAACAACTATTTAGCCTAGTTAGCCAAGTATGCTATAATTTCTAAATCATATTAATGTATCTTATATAGCTTTAAATACAAATACCATTGTACAGTATACAGAGGAAGGTGTATAATCTGTACGGTACACAGAAGTTTAAAATCACAAGGATACGTTTGGACCTCCAAATCCAATCTCTTGAAAGTACTACTCTTTTATCTCACTCTCTGGTCCTATAGTCTTTAGCATTAAAGCTAAGTGAGAATATTTAGCACAATGCAACAGCAAGAATAAGAATGCTTGTAATAAATTTCCATAAATATGAAGCAACCTCTCAATAAATTTAATAACTCTGATTTAATAAAGGACTAGATAACATACAAACATGAGAATTATAAATGATATTTAATTTCTTCAACCACTGTAATTGTTATGCAGCAGATTAATGTTTCTAAATTGTGATGTTTATCTACCTAATCTTATTTAATGTCCTTTCACTTTTAGATAATAAAAAGGAAATTGTTGCTCCTAAACACAAATTTAAGAATCAATTTAATCAGTTCTTAAGATTATACTATGATTTTAATATTTTAAATTTGATAAGTTATTATTCATCCATGAAAAACACATATAGAGCTTTGTTATTGAAATACTGAAGCAAAACATCTGAAGTTAGAGATTTTTATATTTTCAAGTGACATTTGTTACTTTATACAAGTTCAAGAGTTATAGAAATGTTTGTGGGACAAATTTGTTTGTAATAGTTATTATAACACATCTCTAAGACAAGGGTCTTAGAATATAGGAAACTTTCCCCTTTGGGTAATGGAGCAGTTTATCTCTCACCTTAGAGGAAGGGATTAGTCTAGACACCTGGTACCACCTCTGAATTATGATCAATCATTTCCCAAGTCTACTTTCTTCTTGGAGTTTTATGAGAGGCACATCTTTGCTCAACTACTTAGAAAATACAGTAGGTTGTAATGGCACCTATACACAGAGGACTCTCCTCAGCCAGTGGGATGGTGCAGAGATAGAAGTCTCCAGTTGCCACATACTCTGCTGTGCTCTGAACAAAAAGAGGTCTGTAGGTGAACAATGGTGCCTCACATCTAAGGAAATCATGAGCATTTCTAGTCATGTTTAGATTATCAGTTGCAAGCTAAGGAACTTTGCTTATATAGTTAATTAATTAAAAGCTAAGGAATGTTGCTAAACTAAGTAAACAGAGCCAAGAGTTTCTCAGCTCACATAGGTCAATATAAGCACTCTCCTCTAAGCAGATAAAATGATGTCTGATTTACACAAAGAGAGAAATCAATAGTTTTATTACAGAAATCTAATTTGATTATTACTACAAGATCTTTGTAAATTAATTTGTTTATTGGTTGACCGTTTTCTTTTTTTAATTTAAAGAGAAAAGAATAAATAAAAATATTAATGAAGAATTTCAAAACAGGCTAGTAGAATAACAATGATTAATTAATAAATAATTAATACATTGTGTATCATTAGCTTTATATTGTTTATTCAAAGTATAGCATATATGCATGAAATATTGTCCTAACAACATTAGCACTAATTTCATATCAATGAAGTAAAAAAACTAATTTTGTAACTATCTTAACTATTATATATATTATATATAGTATATATAATGTATAATAGTATTATAGTAGTATAGTATTATAGTATAATAATAGTATAGTAGTATATAATAGTTATATATATACTTATTATATATATATATATATATATATATATATATATATGTATAAATATGTCTTCTTTCCCTTCTTTTCTTTCTCCCATCCCAGTTTCTCTTTTATTTTGAATGGTTTCTTCTCATTGCACAATGACTATGGTAGAGTTTGGACTTTTATTTACACTTTCAATTTCTCGCACTCTAATGTGGTTGACCTTTTTAAAATGCTAAATGATGTAGTAACATTTATTGTGAATGGAGAACAGTATCTCACAGTGTATTCTGATTATTTCATCATGCCTTCTTCCTAGATGTATGCCATCATTATTGTGTGAATTCCGAATCATGCACCATTGGTGATGATGGAAGTGTGGAATGCGTCTGTCCAACACGCTATGAAGGACAAAAATGTGAGGTGGATAAGTGTGCAAGGTGCCATGGGGGTCACTGCATTATAAATAAAGACAATGAAGATATAGTTTGCAAGTAAGTGGGCATCTAGATTAATTCATAAAAGCATTTCAATATAACTGACATGATACTTCAACAATATACTGCAAAATGATGCAATTTATTGTATTAGAGAATTCTACATGCCAATCACTGCATTTTTAATATAGAGTAAGTTCAACTCATTTAAATTAAACTTTTTCAACACCTTTTTTGAACATCTGAGGACCATGAAAATCCAGTGTCTTATGATATTGTCATATATTACATTAACATAGATTATTAATAATATAGATTATTTCCCATATATATTATATCTAAGAATAAGTAAGAAGCACTGAAATGCAGCATATTTTGAAAAAGCAATATGTGATGTTGTTCAACACATGCTCAGATTCAAGCTCAGATTTTTAATTGTTTCAGGACTATTACTAGAGTGAGGTGGGTAGCATTTATAAGTAATCTTTTGGGGAGCCCCAAATGTTGCTTTCTCTTAATTTGACTTTGGCATCACATTTAAAAAGAGGTAGAAGGAAAAATGTTTTCTGGGAAACAACTGCAGTAAAAATGTCCAAGTGCGACTTCTGTTACATTGCCTTTTGATCTTGGCTCTAAATTTAAGTGAATGGAAAACAAAAGATAACAGTTAAAGGATAAGAAAATGATGCTCAGTTTCTATCATGAAATAAGTTTATGCCACTGAGGTTAGAGATCAATCGGCTCTCAGATGTACTTTAACGGCCTTTTAAAAGAAGGACTTATAAAGGACTGAACTCTGTCACTCGCCTTGCTTACAAGTTTAATAAAGGAGAACATGAGACAGAAAACCTGCCATAAAGTATCCATACCACGGTGTCTGCCGAGAGTTCTGCAAGAGTGCAGTATGAACTAAGTTTCTCTGCCAAACAAGGCTTAATAAAATTTTATTAGAGGCAACATCAACATCTTTTTCTTTTTTTATTTACTCTCATTTTAGAATTTATTGTAAATATGATTTGTGTTATCATTGTAAGTGACATTTACTCAAACCAATAAATTAGGCCACTTCAAATTATATTTTTAAGTAAAGCAAATAAAAATATAACTAATACACAAATGTATGTCTTTGATAAGTACATAAATAACTCTTCCATATAAACTACCTAGATCATTATAATCAGCATTTTTGGTGATAAAATATTAAAACTATAAAACTCTATTTCAGCTTCTAGTCATACATTTTTCTTTCTGTCCACTGTACCGTATCAGAAAAGGCTGAGGATCTTTATGATCCACTGCACTTTCACAGGGAATCTTGATAGTGATCCAAAGTTTCCAACCCAGTTTGATTTGGAAAATTTATTCACAGACACAGACTGTATCCATTGTATAGGAGAGTTTATACAGGAAAAAAAAAAAAAAAAAAAAACAAAAAACAAAAACAGAACCTAGAGTTTGCAAACAGATGAAAAGCAGTAGAAAATAACTTTATTGAGATAGAATAAATGTGATTTTTCATAATTTAAGATGGCTATTGAGATATAACAGTATTTTTAAAGTCTATTTAAACTGTCTTTGGGAAAATGAATAAATACCAATTCTTAACAATGAATAGTAAAGCTTTAAAAATAGAAATAAAATTTCACTTAATACATTAGATAGTTTCTATAACATTTGAGGATGTCAATATAAATAGTATGCTTTAGGTATTCTAAGATATTTTAAATATTAAAATTTTTATCATTTCCATGGTGACTTTCATCTCAACAGCAAGATGAAATTTATAGTAGTGTCAGCATTTCTGGTGAAAAGGTAATGAAGAACCTAACACAAACATCCAGTAAAAGGGAAGTAAATAATTATCACCTAAGTGGGAAAATTCAAATCAGCAATTACACATTTGCTTACAAACAGGCAGTTTTGTCTCTAACACACAGTCTGTGAACTGTAAATTAGAGTCGGTAGTCTATTTTTTATAACAAGTGTGGCAATTTAAAAACAACTAATTAGATAGTTTTAGTTTTTCTGAAAGTGTTGAAAAAAACTTGATCATAATCTTGAGTGGCCAAATGTCACTTTGAGGTCAAATGTTATGAAAATTTTGTACTGGATAAATGGTAATTAACTTTGGGATATAATATATCCCAAACTATGTGTGTGTGTGTGTGTGTGTGTGTGTGTGTGTGTGTGTGTGTGTGTTTGTAGGCATCATGAGTACCTCTAAAACTGAAACATTTGTATGAAAATTTACATAAAATGTTAATAGTAGTTTTAAGAGTATATAGTGATTTGTGTTTCACATTGAAAATATGTGAACTTCTATCTTTACTTTGGGTTCAACCAAAATCTTTGGAAGGAAAAAGAGGCAATATGTTTTATAGCTGTTGAAAGTAGAAGTTGAAAAGCAATTAGGACTTTCTTTTCCTCTTTAAATCACAAGTGCTTAGTCAAATATTTTTGTAGGAAATTTTTAATGCAGCAAGAGATAATTTCCCCTTTGACCTTGTTCTTTGGATAGAACAAAGAACTAACATTTCGCCTTTGGAGATTCAAGGAGGATGTCTAAGGAAGATTAAGGAAAGTCCCTCAGATCTTTACAATATCAGACACCAATGCATGTAATTGTGGATTTGACTCATTTTGTAATCACATTAGGATTCCTATATAGGCTACATTGGGTGTAATATTCTTTCCTAAATCTTGCAAGTGTTAGACCATCCTCCATCCTCCCATTCCATGTGTCTGGCTCTAATTTCCTACATCCCTACTTCATACCTCTTGACATCTAAGTAACTCAGGTTTTTGCTCTTCTTGAACAGAAATTGTTTTCCAATCCTGGCCTCTTAGAATTTGTTTCAAATTTAACAGATACAAAACTTAAAAGCAGTTTTGTTCATTTACCACAGCCATAGAATTCACATGAGATCAAATGAATAAGCACAGCATAAATGCACAATGCTGACCAATAGTCTTTGGCATCTTACCTCTCATTGGAAATTATTCTTTGACCATACTTAATAGATACCCATCATGTGATAGATTTAAATGGTGCATATCATGATCTTACTTCTTTTTTAATTAAATGTCCAGATTTATTATGATATCATTTACTGTTCTAGCACCTAATACTAGCACGACAGTATGTGGAGAATTACTTACATGATGTGCTGCAATTCTGATTTTGGCCAAGATGTATAGAATTTTGATTTACTTTTCTCTCTCCCACCAACAGTTGCCACTGCCTAAACCAATTCTTTGCTTTAGAATATGACATGGAAAACTAAATTCTGTATTTTTCCAAACTGTTGCTAAGCTCAATTTTTCTACTGTAACAACATATTTTTTGTTATCTCAGCATGTGACATTGCTATAAATTACAATTGTGTTGCTAAAATTTTAAGAAAGTTTGCCTCATTATTTTGTTGCCTTATAACATATTGTTTTTATAACATTGCTCTTTATTTTTTCAGTGCATCACTCCATTTTCTTTGCTAGATAACAGAAAGTTTGACATTATCATCACTTACAGTATATATATACAACAATAGTAGGAAAAAATAGAGCAAAAAGTAACAAGTTTTTTTTTTACAAATTATTGGAGTCTAGAATTATTAACACTATTTTGGATGAAACCCTCCAGAGTAGAGAAAAAATCAGAACCATTTTATCCCTAGTATTTTATCATGTGAGCTATAATTCATAAATATATCACCAAATACTATTTATATAAAAGGTACAAGATACTGATAATACCTCATGGAGGTTTTAAGTGATAGATGTTAGAGTATATTTTCAGACACATATCTAGTTATGTTAAATGTTTATACTAAAACAAATGGGTTGACAACTTGAACATTATCAAACGAAAAAAATTAACTGTCATCATTCTGGTTAAAAATAAAAACTTTTCCTACAGTATATCTGTCTTCCTGAAAATATAAATTTTCTCATCTGAAGAAAGTATGTCTGTTTTCAAAAACATTAACGCCAATAACAATGGATTTTTTTTTCTTGGTTGTTATAGCTGTACTAATGGGAAGATCTCCTCTAGTTGTCAGTTATGTGATGGCTACTGTTACAATGGTGGCACTTGTCAGCTGGACCCTGAGACAAGCGTACCTGTGTGTCTGTGAGTATAGTATAATGCTGTGGGTGACACCGAATGTGTACGGGATCCACATTTTGTTGTTCTCCTTTTTTGGGTAACACATTTTAAATGAGTGTTTCATGGACATCTCTGATCAAGTATTGTCCCTCATTGGCTCATGCGTTACAGAATCTCCTTCTTCATCAGTTTGCTAATAATTTCATGAGTAAGAGCTCATTCAGTTCTTAGTGTCATGCCATTTCAGACATTCGCAGCTCTTTGAACTTGGAAACTTTGGGGAAAACTGTTTTCATTTGTTGACCTTATTCAGCTATATAAATCCCAGAGATAATCTTTCATGAATCCCTTGTAAGTTTCACCATCATTTTCCAAAGAACTTGAGGTCTCTTTTCAAACGTATAATGCTATTTGATTTTTACATCAGACATAGAGTACTGCATTATGTAAACCAGCTAAGCCCCGTCTCTCCTGTAGAATGTTAATCTGAGTCTGGTTTTCTAAATATGTAGTGGGTATTGGAGATTTTTAATATTCCCAAGAAAATATGGAATTTAGTATTTTCCTCTCAATTATCTGACTGTCCAGAGCAGATGATTTAAAGCCATCTAGCATATGCGGTCACTGTGTTGAGTCTTGTTTGAACCATGTTTGATCAGAGAGATGATGCCCACATGTGGCCCACATCTGCATCTTCTTCCCCACCTTGTCAGTGTAGCATGTGACGAATGTGTATTGTGAAGAAATGAGCATACCTGGGAACATTTTTATTGATGTTACAATCTGTATAAAAAAATTTGAAACATATTTGGCAAAAATAAAGTCAGACGCTTTATTTAGCTGTATTTTACTGAAATTCTGCAGATGCTCTGTGGGGTTTAAAAATCAGCGCTGTGACCAGAAAGAGAACCCTTGTGATCACTACTGTCAGAATGAGGGGATTTGCACTTTAACTGCGTTTAATGAGCCGAGATGCAAGTAGGTTTAACCTTCCACTTACCACTGCACTTCATGTGACGTCATTCCAGGCCACAGTTCATTGGTTTAAATCATGAACATCCACATATGTTTCAGTGTATACTTAACCCTGGGTCTCATTTGTGTCATACTCACTTAACCTTTGCTTCCTTTGCCCATAAGTATGTCCTCCATGGACCACTAGACATTCTAGAGTACAGCAGAGATGGAATAACAAAGTTGGCGAAACTGTCAAATAATAAAAGTACATTTGCTAGAATAATAGCTTTTAATTTAAAAACAAAAGAGAGGTGTCTTTCAGGACTCTTTCTACCTATTATATTTAGAATGATGTTTTTTAGTTATTAATTGATTTTCATTTCAAAAACTGTAGAATAATATGCTATTTTATTTCCAAATGTTTCACTAGTAATTATATTAATTAAGATTTTATAATAAAGTGAATAAGTTCATACTAAAATACTTGCAGAAATTTAAATACTTTATAGCTTAAATTATTTTTATTCAATTTGTAATGTTTTGAACATTAATGAAAAATGCACTCATATTTCTTCTGAAAATGTTAGTGATCACCTCTGAAGTGATAACGTCTGAGTTATTTTGTGACGTGTGGTTGAGTTTCAGAGTTATACCACATTTGACATCCTCCTTAATTCCCGATATCTTAATCAGTAGCTCTGGCTGGCATCTGATAACAGGTGCTCAGTGGTGGTGGCGCCTAACCAGCAATGGTATTGAAGTACAATTTTACTAAAATTTAGCTGTTTCATTTCTCACAGTCTACTACTTTGCTCATAATGAGCTACCCACAGATTTTTTGAGAAAAGCTTGAGCCACAGAGGTTGGGTTTTGAAGGAGGTACCTGTAGGGAGCTGAAGAAAAGTCTTGCAGGTCATCATCAGGACCCCATAAAATGGTTGGCAACACTTGCAGTGAAAAGTGATGGCCTGAATGTGACAGTGAAATTACAAAGAAGAATGTACAAAACAATGAACAATTGCTATGTTAACTCATACATCAAGCGTGGTCCTTGGCCATAAAGTGATCAAGGACTTACGTTAGTTCATTTTAGAAAGTCAAATTTCCTGATCTGGATCCCAATCTTTCTTTTCCTACCACTTTCTCACTCTTCCTGGGCGCAAAAAGACATAAAATTTCAAGCTCACCTCATCCCACCTGCCACAGATCTCAGAATGACTTCTTGTCCAGAGAGTGCCCCTGATCACCTGAGTAACTCTTCCTCACAGATGCGGTCTTCCAGAGTAATGTGTCCTTTCACTTCCCATTCTAACAGATATCATCAAATTCAAAAGATTTTGAAACCATAATCAGCTTCCTTGATAGACTATGTCAAGAAAAATGTGTTTGTTGGAGGGGTTTAGAGAAGACCTTTTGCTTTTATGTATCTTTTTCTTTATCTCTGTCTGCATTTGGTTTTGTAGAAATGTTTCCAGTACAGTGGTGTTCCATGCCCTATAATTTATTCTAAGACTGGAAGCAATATTTGCATTATATTCTTCAAACATTAAACTCATAAAAGAAACATAGTGAAATTAGGTTCTGTTTGCATTCATTAATGAAATATTTATAAACAATGATAAGTTAGATGTTATATTAATTTAGAAGAAGTAAAACCACTAAAACCAACTGAGCAAATACCATATGCCAACTAACAGTATTAAATAATTAGCAAATTTATGAGTAATATTAAATTGCTACCTTGTTAGAATCTAATTGTTTTCCCCATTTAGCCACAGTTTAGAATGATGACACTGTGGTCACATTCTAAGAAGTGGACATTTAAGATTCAGATAATGCTTATTTGATTCTAAAGTCCATGCTTTGGTTATATAACACTGTCTTGATTACTTATCTCTCATTGCTGGGACAAAATGCCTGACACTCAAAATTAAGGAAGGAAAGGTTTATTTAGCTCACAGTTTGCAGAGGTTTCAGTCTATAATCAGCTAGCACCAAAGCAGGGTGGCAGGGGCAACACTTCAAGGAGTATCTAGATAAAGCAGCAAAGCTGAAGTGAAAAAGAGCAAGCCTCTTTTCCTACCTTACACCGCACACGAACCACGCTGCTCCAGGGTAGTGTAACACTCACACCACCTCCATGCCCTCCTCTTGCACAGGCTCAGGATGTTTACAAAATAAGGGCCTGAGCACCCTGCTGAATGGTTAAACTTCTAAACTTCTCAAGCTGACACAAAGAATCAACTCTAACAATCACTTTCTGCACTGTTCTCAAGCTATAATTGTACAATCTATTATATTTAAAGGGCTCAAAATTCATTTTGAGTAAATGAACTGCTTTTGTAAATCAATATATTATTTTGTAGTTGGTATGATTGCCATAGCATAAAAGTGACATGGGTGAACAACTGAATAGAGACATACTAATCATTCCAACTGGATGAGTTTTTAGATGAAGTAACATTTTAACAGTATTTTGAAAAAAAAATAAATAGTTCTACCAAAAGACACAAAATATAGTCAAATAAACTCTGTCTGAAAGTAAAAAGTTATTTATGACAGAAAACATGTTCTAGTGTTTTAATCCCTTGAGAAGGGGGAATCAATAAAGGTAAATTATAATAAGTTTGAGAAAATTTATGAAATAGTAGATTCTGCCAACTTGAAGGGGTATCAAATGTCAAATAGTATCAACTCCAGAAACTTGGAAGAGATGAATGCTGATTAATAGTTTATTGACCTTTTCAGTTAGGAACCCAGTATAAGAGATGTTTGAAAGCAACAAATGGACCAAAAGCAAGGTGCTAAAAAGTTAAAAGTAGGAGACAAAAATAAACATTTTGTTATGAGTTAAAGAAAAAATAGATTGGTGCTAGAAGAATGTAATATTATATTAGGACTTAAAAATATCAAGAGTGCTGTTGATTCTTGTTGTTTGATTTAGGGGCTGTGAAGGAAAGAATGATGGTTTAAAATACCGTTTTCTCATTCGTGTCCCTTAGATTCAAAATTTCTGGAATATACAAAATCTTCTTACTTTCTTTAGGATATTTATAATGTGGCACTAATATGTAAATAAGTCAAAGCAAAAAGTGATAGTAAGCATCTATGATCATGCGCAATTCAAAGTAGTCCAGGAAACGGACCATGAAGCCCTCAGCATATTTTTCTAGTGTGTGAGCAGCCTCACTAGAAAATATTTTTCAAAAACTAGCTAGACATTCAGGTCTCAACTGGTAGTGAACATGTATTATTAATGAAAAGTTCATATGTGCTACCTCATCTAAAAGCTTTTATAGAAAACTAAATTTGGTATAAGATACAACAATAGTGCTTGATTTAGTTTTGTCAGTAGTACATTTTTCTCTGTTTCATAGAATGAAACACTATTTAAACTGTACAGAACTCATATGCAATGTGAAAGTCTATGAAGGTAACACTTTTTCCATACAATATTTTATTGCTGTGTCTTTCAATTTAAAGAAGTGATTGTTTTTTTTTTTTTTTTTATTTGAAAGGCTTCAATTTTTTTCTTAGTGGCCATTTTCATTTATCTATGTGGGGAGGCTTTGAAAAAAGAATGAAATCCAGATATTTCAGATTTCTCTGGCTGAACGTTTTGACATTTATTAAAGTAGGTATACTGAATAAGATTGAAACGGCAAGGCCTCAGGTATGGAGCTGCCTGTTTCAACTGAGGCAGTGGGGGCCACCAACCTGGCATACCTCAGAATGGGATTGCATTTCCTTTTACAGGTAGACTAAAGAGGTGTTTGACTTAATGAGATCTTTAGGCATGCTCTCTCATCTAATCTGGCCATTATTATTATAAGAAGAAATTAGGACAAAGCGAGAGAGAAGCACCATGTAAACATTAGCTTGAAAATGGGTATCTGTAAGTCAAAGACTGAAGCCTCAGAAGAAATCTAGTATAATACTACCTTGTTTTCAGACTTCTAGACCATGAGAAGTTAAATTTGTTTTTAAACTATCTACTATGTAGTATTATTATATGGTAGCCATAGCAAAAGAATACAGATTATGATGCGTAGAAGTGAGGTGAATCTGTGACCTCAAAATGTGGAAATGCCTGTGGAACTGAAGTAAAAGACGGGGGTTTTTAAAAACTTTTTTAAAACCCTAGATGCCTATTAGAAATATGAATATCGAAGTTGCTTCTGGTGAGATGCAAGATGATATTGGGGCACAAGTTGATAGAAACTGCAACAGAGGCCATCATTGTTAGTGCCATAGAAAAAGGGTGGTTGTAATACAGCGTTGTATTGAAAGCAGAACTTTAGAGTGGTTACTCCGTATATAAATATTTTCAGTTAATGGCGTGGTCTATTTTCTTTTTGCTCTTCAAAGTAAAATGCCAAAAAAGAACTGAGGAATTTGTTAAGCAAAATGAACCAGAATTAGAAGATTCAGTCAACTCTCATTCAGTATATACTTAAAAGAAATGAGAAATGCCCTGGAAAGTGTACCGAAACTATAGCTATAATTTCCTGTGAGTTTATGGGTATGACTCGGGAATTCAGTCAGTCCTCTAAGCACAAATGCTGCCAGCTATTATGGACAAAGAGACCAAAAAGTAATGGAAGAAGGATGCTGGGCTTCTGAAAATACATAGAATGCATTAATTGATCAATTCAGCTACTAATGTGTATAATCCTTCAAGAAAAAGGAAATATATTGCCAAAGGTAGTACAGACATCAGAAGAGCTGCCATGCCGGCTAGGTCTTCAAAGAAGCAAGGCCATCTTCTCCAAAGTTCCATAAGGTACTTTCTCAATCAGTGGATGCAAATGTAAGTTTTAAATCCAAGAGAACAAAGCTCCAGCTTACAGTTTTGGAGAAATAAATGCTGTTTACAGACACAGATATGGAGTTGCTGCCTCAACTGAGACATGATGGGCCACCATCTAAGAAGACTAAACAATAAGACAGCTTGTCTGCTAAGTTCAGAGGGCCAAACATTGAGCCAAAGGATGGTCCTCAAACTAGTAATCTAGCCAAAT